TATGGAGGTTCCTCAAGACGTTAAAAACAGAGCTACTCTATGACCCAGGAATTGCACCACTGGGTATTTACCCCAAAGATACAGATACAGTGAAAAGAAGGGGCACATGCATCCTAATGTTCATAGCAGCAATGTCCACAATAGCCAAACTGTGGAGGAAGCTAAGATGTCCTTCAACAGATGAATGGATAAAGATGTGGTTCATATATACAATGGAATATTACTCAGCCATCAGAAAGGATGAATACCTACCATTTACATCAACATGGATGAAACTGGAGGGTATTATGCTAAGTGAAATAAGTCAATCAGAGAAAGACAATTTTCATATGGTTTCACTCGTATGTGGAATATAAGGAATAGCACGGAGGATCATAGGGGAAGGGAGGGAAAACTGAATGGGAAGAAATCAGAGAGGGAAACAAACTGAGGGTTGCAGAAAGGGAGGTGGGGGGGATGGGGTAAGTGGGTGATAGGCATTAAGGAGGGCACATGATGTGATGAGCACTGGGTGTTATATGCAACTAATGAATCATTGAACACTACATCAAAAACTAATGATGTACATGTTGGCTAATTGAATTTAAATTTAAAAAATTAAAAAAAAGAGAACTACAGGCCAATATCTCTGATGAACATAAATAGAAAAATCCTCAAAATCATTCACCACAATCAAGTGGGATTTATACCTGGGATACAAGGGTGGTTCAATATTTGCAAATCAATCAATGTGATACATCACATCAACAATAGAAAAGATAAAAAACATGATCATTTTAATAGATGCAGAAAAAGCATTTGGCAAAGTACAACATCCGTTCATGATAAAAACCCTCAACAAAGTACGTTTAGAAGGAACATACCTCAACATAATAAAGGCCATATATGACAAACTCACCTTGTACTTCATGCTTAATGGTGAAAAACTGAGAGCTTTTCCTCTAATCTCAGGAACAACACAAAGCTGTCTACTCTCACCACTTTTATCAACAGTTCTGGAAGTCCTAGCCACAGCAATCAGACAAGAAAAAAGAATAAAAGGCATCCAAATTGGTAAGGAAGAAGTAAAACATTCACTATTTGCAGATGACATGATACTCCATATAGAAAACCCCAACCACTCCACCAAGAATCTGCTAGAACTGATAAATGAATTCAGTATGGTTACAGGATACAAAATAGATATAGAAATCCGTTGCATTTCTGTATGTAAATAATGAAGTAGCCGACAGAGAAATTAAGAAAACAACCCCATTTACAATGGCACCAAAATAATAAAATTCCTAGGAATCAACTTAAGCAAGAAGGTGAAAGACCTGAACTCTGAAGACTATAAAACATTGATGAAAGAAATTGAAGATGATCCAAATGAATGGAAAGATATTCCATGGTCATGGATTGGGAGAACACATATTTTTAAAATTTCCATACTACCGAAAGCAATCTGCAGATTTAATGCAATCCCTGTCAAAATACCAATAACATTTTTAACAGAACTAGAACAAATAATCTTAAAATTTGTGTGGAAACACAAAAGTCCCTGACTACCCAAAACAATCCTGAAAAAGAAGAACAAAACTGGAGGTTATCACAATCCCAGGTTTCAAGATATACTACAAAGCTGTAGTAATAAAAAAAGTTTGGTACTGGCACAAAAACAGAGACATAGATCAATAGAATAGAATAGAAAGCCCAGAAATAAACTCACAGTTATATGGGCAATTAATCTTCAACAAAGAGGCAAGAATATGCAATGAGAAAAAGACAACCTCTTCAACAAATGGTGTTGGGAAAACTGGACAGCCACAGGCAAAAGAATGAAATTGAACCACTTTCTTAAACCATACATAAAAATAAGCTAAAAATGGATTAGGATCTAAATGTGAGACCTGAAACAATAAAAATCCTAGAAGAGAGCATAGGCAGTAATTTCTTCTTCTGTAGCAACTTTTTTCTAGATAGGTCTTCTGAGGAGAGAGAAACAGAAGCAAAAATAAACTATTGGGATTTCATAAAAAAAAAAAAAGCTTTTGCACAGCAAAGGAAACCATCAACAAAACTCAAAGACAGCCTACTAAATGTGAGTAGATATTTGCAAATGACATATCTGATAAAGGTTAGTATCCAAAATATATAAAGAACTTATCAGACTCAACACCCAAAAACCAAATAATCCAATTTAAAAAAAATGGGCAGAAGACACGAACAGACTTTTCTCCAAAGAAGACATACAGATGGCCAACAGACACATGAAAATTTGCTCAACAGCACTCATCATCAGGGAAATGCAAATCAAAACTACAATGCGATATCACTTCACACCTGTCAGAATCACTAAATTAAAAAAACACAAGAAACCACATGTGTTGGTGAGGATGCCAAGAAAAAGGAACCCCTGTACACTGTTGGTGGAAATGCAAACTCATGCAGCCACTGAGGAAAACAGTATGGAGGTTCTTTAAAAAATTAAGGGAACTAATATATATGTATGTAACTAATATATAATATATATAATTATTTTATAATATATAGTATATATTATAAATTATATTTATATATAATATACATATATTATATAGGAACTATATATATAATGAAATATTACTCAGCCATAAAAAAGAATGAAATCTTGGCATTCACTACAACATGGATGGATCTAGAGAGTATAATGCCAAGTGGAATAAGTCAGTCAGAGGAAGACAAATACCATATGATCTTACTCATATGTAAAATTTAAGAAACAAAACAAATAAAGAAAAAAAGAGACAAACTAAGAAACAGACTCTTAACTATAGAGAAGAAACAGATAGTTATCAGAGGCGAGGTGGGTTGGTGATAAGTGAAATAGGTGAAGGGCATTAATAGTACATTTATCATGATGAACATTGAGTAAGGTATAGAATTGTTGAATTACTATATTGTACATCTGAAACTAATACAACACTGTATGTTAACTATACTAGAATTAAATTTTAAAAAAATAAATGAAAAAAAGACAAAAATTAAAAAAATTAAAGCCATATTATGATGCAGCTTATTTATGAGATAGTGTTTGAGTTAAGCAAATAAAATACATATTTTATTCTATAAAGATTCTTGGTCCTACTAAAAGTTTAAGTAGACTAATTTTTCATCATCTCCATGCAAGCTCTATGATTCATAAGATCTGTTGTAATGCGAAAATGTTTTACTCTGGATGTATGTTATTGAAAAAAATTCTAATAATTTATTTTATGTATACTACCTAGTTACTTTTGTGAGAAAGAAATAGGTGACAAAACTGATAAAAAGGATTTTTTTAAACAAATTCTGTATGACAAGAGCCAGTATAGACTTAGCCCTAAACATTGTCCTCATAAAGCACTGTGTCAGTGAAGGATTCCAGAGTAACTAATGAATAAGAAAGCATCATTAAACTAGGATTGTAGTTTCAATGTCATGGTACTTGATTAGTTGCTAATCCATCAAAAATTGATCATCTATCTTCAGTTAACTAAAATAATTCATATAAAGGGCCTAGTACAATGGATGGTACGTAATCAAATTTTAATATTTACTGGCTATTTTGGTAACAATGATGATGTTAAATTAGTTTTCGTTAAGAAGAATATTCATTAATTGGAGTCCCCCTTCTTCATTCTACATAATGGATATGTTACTACGTGGTGTTGCATTAGACTATGTAGGACAGTGTATTTAAATTTTATAAACAAAAGTTAACTTTAATACCTTGCAAAAAGTTATAGAAAATAAATAAGTTTCATTTTATCTCATAATTTCGCATTGGCTGCAAATCGTAGGCTGCTCATGAATTCAGAAGATGTCTGGATTTCTTAACGCTTTCTATGAGCTGAATTGATTTTGTTCATCTCAGTACACTGTAGAGTAATAGTTACAGCCTTTTTTTTTTTTTTTGCCTTTTTTGCTTTTTTTGGTGGTGGGTAGAGTTTCAGAACTCACTGAAGATATCTGCTTTCCATTATGGTAGGATTAATTATTGTAATACAACAGTTGGATCTTTCTATAGAACATACTTATTGACATCAAAGTAATACATTATCTAGCTCTGTAATACTGGGAGACAGAGGAAGAGGTGGAGAGAGGCAAAGAGAGAAGGGCAGGCAGGAGGAGGAGAGGGGAGAGGGAAGAGGTTGTTCCTGACCTATGTGATATGTGACATCATTGTACGATGAATTAATTAAATTATTAAATTTGCAACCATAAAGTAACTTAAAATAGCCAATTTACACATATATCCTATTTAATTTTTTTAAATGGTCTGTAGTATTTATTTCTCACATGGTTGCTTGATCTTGCATTTAACGGCATGATTGTACTTTTTTTGAACTACTTTTTATTTCACGTCCAATGACAAAAAATATGAATCTGCTAAGCAAATAGAAGGAATTGATTATTTTTGTAAAAAGATTGCGAGTATTGCTCAGGGTTATCCCAATATAGTATAAAATCCATAGATAATCTGACAGAATCCATGAAATATAGATGAAAACTAAATACTTTTTTTTTCCCTTTTATTGAGAAGTGAGCATCTGTTTCAGTGCCTCAAATAAGAGCTCTGGAACTACTGGGAAAGCCTTTTCCATCGTGTGTTCATACCTTTGACTTTACTTTTTCTCCACAGTTTTTTACTTTGAAATATTTCTCATTTTGTGGGCATACTTTCTTGTAATGTGTAACAATACCTCTCTTTAATTAAATACTTCTTTTTTGTATGAATCAAGTAGCGAAGATTTGCAGTTGCTTTCATTACCTGATTTCCTTTATCTAGAGATCTATCTCAATAATTGAATCCATGTCTCTTTTTCAAATGGTCCATAAAATCATGAATCCTAAATTAAATAAAACCATTAAAATATCTACCAATAATTTATTTGTATTAGCTTCTTTTATCTTTCCAGTTAAATTACCACAGTTCTTAAGTGCCTAAATGTGACTTTCAAGAAAACTAATGATGTGTCTTATTACTACTTTTTTAATAGATTGAACTTCACCAATTTAAAATCTACTGTAACTCAAACTTCCTAGCTCAAGAAACATGTTGCGAAATATCAGATACTAAGGTAAGTTAATTTTTTTGGCTTGTGAAGAATATAGAATGCCAGTTGCCTAGTCCGTAGAATGCAAATGTAGGACAGCACTGAATATCTTCTGTGAAGCCAGGTGAGTAATTTGTTCCAAGTAAGAGACCCCTCATAGTGCTCTCACATAGTTTCTTTACACAATTTGAATCCCAGTGTTTTGTGTTGAACTTTGGGAATGGTATGTCCTCACTTTGGACTCAGCATAAATAAGAGAGAATTTATGACTTTCTCCCTAAACTGTGTTCTGACAGTAGCGTCATTATTTTCCAGCGGCAGAGATTTTTAAATCTGTGATCATACCTTATTCTTACTCATTTTCCTCTTCTCCATCCTGGATAGTTTTCTTTTGTGATAGGTTTTTTTTAAAGACTTTATTTGAGAGAGAGAGAGAATACACAAAGGGGAGGGGCAGAGGGAGAGGGACAAGCAGGCTCCGCACTGAGCAGGGAGCCCGATGCGGAGCTTGATCCCAGGACCCTGGGATCATGACCTGAGCCAAAGGCAGACGTTTAACCAACTGAGCCACCCAGGCACCCTCTGATAGATTTTTCATCTTCCTTTTCCCTGTTACTGACCTGGTCCACCTTTATCTCATGCCTGGATTGTTGCATTATCATGTCAACTGCCTTCCCCGTCTCTAGACCTTTTTCTTTCCAGCGTAACCAGAGTAAGTCTCTGAATCATTGCTTTGTATATGCATTTATTTTTTCTCACTAAACATTAATTATTCAAAAACATTGATCTTCTAGACATTGTGCTAAAGAACAAGGCAATAACAGACATGAATAAGGCATGTTCCCTGCCTTCTATTCATCTCTTTCTCAAAGCCTTTGGTCATTCCCTTTTGGCAACAAAACATAAACTCAATTACTTAGCTTCCATTCTTAATATTCCCAACCTAACTGTCCAACTGTTGCTTTCTTATACCAATCTTCCATTTAAAAAAATTCAGTACTTTTTTTTATCTCTCATTATAATGGTCATGTGTGCTATCTTATATTATTAGATATAGTTGTATTTGTTTTTAATTTATTCAACTGCATTTTAAACTCATTGAGGGGAGTTATACTTTCATGCTCTTCTTTTTAATTCCTAGTGCTTTGTTTGTAGAAGATAGTCAAAACATTGTTTCTTGACTTGTTGACTTATCAACTATTAAAGGAGGTAGATGGTACAAAAAGGTGTTTAAAAGGGACTAACTCGATAAAATCTTACAGAAAGAACATATGAAAAGTAAAAGTAAAAGGTGAAAATGTTTTTCTTTGCATTTTAGATTTACCAGAAGTTCTATACTTGCCATCCAATATGAAAATTTTATTGATAGTTCAGTAATTCAAAAATATTTTTAACTTCTGTCACTCACTGTGGGTAGTAGAATAATAATGTGACTGATTCAAAGCATAGCTAAGTTTTTCAAAATTATTTGTTTTGCTTATGTAACTTGGTTTTATAAAGCATATCGCCAACCCAGTTTATGGCTCTCATTCCAAGTAAAATGAAAGCCAGCCAAATATCTTTCTATAAATATCTAAAAAGATAATTTATAATGCCAATCTACAGACTTGAAATACCTAGACTTCCTGGAGCCACATATTTAAATTTTGAAAATGTTAATTCTCCCAAAGTTTATTTTTTAAATTAATTATTCCCTTAGGATGTAAGAGCTCTTAAAATAATAACTTTTCCTGGTTGAAAGTAACATAACAATGTTTTGATATATCTAAATACTGTATTTTTGACCAGTAGTTTTTACTCTGTATCATCACATAATAGATATTTTCAATTCAAGTTATGAGAAAACCATTTAAGGAAGTATAAGTGATAGATTTGATGGAGTGGTTGGATTATTAAAAGCAATAACATAACCTCACAAATTATGGAAGAGAAATTAATCATATCTTAAAAAGATTGTTTAGGAGTAAAATTGTGGAAAATAAGGTAGGAATTCATCTTTGACTATAGGAAAAAATAACAAAAGCCTGCTTATTTTCCTGCTGATAATTATTTGAAGGGACATCACCATTCTGTTAATGAGTAGCAGAAAATAGAAACATGCTACATTTTACAAATGGAAGTGTATAGTTTGAAAGATAAATAATTATATAAAAACCATTTAAGTGCATCTGTTATAATTCTGACACCAACTTTTTTTTGAAAGAGTGTTGAATTCAGAAAATTTTAATGTGCTTGTTTAAAAATTTAATTTTATCCTGGAATTTCAAATTAGACATGCTTTTTGTAATTAATATTTTATAGCATGGTCAAGGGTGAAATTCATTCAAGATCATCTGAAATATACTTCCTTTCTTCTATTAATTAGATTTTCTATTTCTGTAAAATTTCATGACTACAGACATAGACAGAAGAAGAAAATCAGCAACATTTGTTGAAAATAAATGAGAAATGTGATTAAAATTTGTAGGGCCAATTAACTAAATATGCGTCAAATCAAAACCAGAGGTTTTATGAAAGGAAGAGTCCTTACTTTGTACATTTTTATGTTCCCTTTAGGCACTTTTTGGAGAGTGTGGAAAGTTTTATAGTGAATCCTGAGACATACTTTTAAAGTCATTTAAATCCCCAATTTAATATAGTAAATTATTTATCCAGACCAAAATTATGAACTCAAATTGGGTCTTGGTCATCTAAGTGGTAACTGGTAGAGCAGGAAGTCTCTGGAAAATCATATCAAATCATATGAAATAAATGGACTATTCTGTTGATAATCATGTTTCATTCTAATATGACTTCTGGACTTGTGGACTTGGAAATTTACTAAGATAACAGAATAGCTAATTATTAAATCTGGAGAGAGTAAATGTGATAGACCTAGGGGTGGACACAGAAAACTAGTCCCAGTGCTTCTGGGTGTTATTTTTCTTACAGTTTTTGTTGTTTTCACAAGCATTAGAGTGCTACCCATTTTTTTCAAAAGAGTTTTTTGTTTTAAAAATTATGTATGTTGGGGTGCCTGGGTGGCTCAGTCAGTTAAGCGTCTGCTTTCGGCTCAGGTCATGATCCCAGGGTCCTGGGTTCAAGCCCCACGTCGAGCTCTCTGCTCGGCGGGGAGCATGCTTCTCCCTCTCCCTCTGCTGCTCCCCCTGCTTGTGCTCTCTCTCTGTCAAATAAATAAATAAAATCTTTAAAGAAAATTACATATGTCTATTATAGAAAACTTGGAAAATACAGCCAAATTCAAAGAAGGAAGTAATTATCAATGGTAGTCTCACCATAATAAATAACCACTGACAATCTTTTAGTTTTGTATCCTGACAATACTTTTCCAAGCCTATATGATTTGTAGCATACAAAGTAATGTCTGAACTCTTTCCCCTAAATTGAAAATTCAGAGTTATGAAATTGCAAATTTATAAAATTACAAATTCACAGTTACAGTCCGGGGTGAGGAGCCTGGTAAATGATGTGGAGAGGAAGGGATGCATTTATTTATCCTCCCAATCTGGATTTATTTTTCAGAGAAAAAAAGTTCATTGCTTTGTAACTAAGTTTCACTTCATGTTATCCCACATGTTCTGAACCCACTGCTTAAGTATAAAATTCACCACTTGTCTTTTACAATGGAGACATTTTAATAACTTTAAAGGACAATGGACTTTAAAGACCCAGACTAATATATACTTTAATTAAATCTATATCATCCTAGAGTGTAAAAAGAATTTATTTTCTACTTTTACACGCCTTTACAATCATCTTGGAGTAAACAAGGTTCTAAAAGTTCACGTTGCTTGTTTTTATTTTAAATTTTTGTTCCACAAACACGTACACGGATGTAATATGTATAACTATTTTATCGTAACAAGGCAGTTATTGTTTGATATTACTGTACTCATCATAAAGTCATTTATAATAGTTTTAGGCCTCCTCAACAAACCAACATTTTAGCACATTTTTAGCATGTTGTCGGTGTAATAAAACACATCGGGGGCCTAGTGAAAGAGCAAAGGTATTATAAACTTTCACAGACCAGTGTCAACTTCTGGCTCATTAGAAGGCAGTTCTTACAGGCAAGTTATGTCATCCCTAGTGTGGTGGGAGCCAGTATTTGGGATGTTAGAATGTTTGGAATTGACCGTATTCATTTTTCTGGATTTTAGTGTCCAGAGCAGAATGGCCATGGAAGTTCTGCATCATCACTGTTACCTGCTCACGCCAGTAAAATGTCTGCCTATCTCCCAGCAAAGCAGGAACTTCAAGACCAGTGCCAGTGCATTCCAAACAAGGTTTGCTAGTTTCAGTCTAGGCCCACTGAAAAGCCACTGCGCAAATTGAGCCCAGCCCCTTGGATGTGGCCCCGGTGCACAGAATGTGTCTTGACCTTTAGTGCTGGTTGAATCAAATACATAAGCCACTCCATCACTGGGGTAGATTAAGAGAAGGGAATTGGGGATAGGATTTCCTGGGTTTTTTTCCTGGATAGTTCTAAAGCCATCAGATTATCTTTCCAGGCTGTGAAATATAATGGATAGAAAGTAAAGGGGAGATCCACCTGTCCAACAGACAAATATTGAGTACTTAGCATGCGCCGGGAATAGGCTTCCGTTCTGGGAATTCAGTTGAAGAAAACAGTGCCTGCTCTTTAACACATACACAGAGGTACTCTATATAATATTTCTTTGTTGTGTACTGATACTGTAGGAAATAGGCAGAGAATATTACTTAAAGAATTTGCTTCACTTGTACCAGTATGGTCCCCTGGTCAGAAAGAGTGGTCCCATGGACCTACATGAACTTCTTTTATGAATGTTAATGGTAGTCACGAGGCTGTGCTACAAGGAGGCTTAGTGATTTCTTGATGGTGGTTTTCCTCTATGCCCATACCTGAGGAAAGGAAAGAGGAAAAGAAAAAACTGGCCCTGGTTCCTAGAGCAGAATGTTCCTTAGTACTGCGACTTACTACATGCTGTTAGAGACAACACATTCAGCTACCACTTTACTCCTGGCTGGACGAGTAGATACAGGGGTGAGGTAAAAGTTTAGAGGAACCTTACATTTCTTCTAGCGACCAATACTATATCATAAGCTCCACGAGAAAGGCAAGTACAAGGTGCTAGGGGCATAGAGGAGCATCATGTGTCCCAGTCCATGGAAAGTCTCATGGAGGAGATGGTATTTGGAAGAGGGAGATTACTGAGCCTCCTGAGCAAGGGAAGGGCATTATAGTGGAGGGACCAACGTCAGCTCAGAGGAGAGTAAAGCTTTATCCTACTATGGTCACCTTCATATTTATAAACTTTAGCTCAATGTGACAGAATGTTTGATAACACAAAATTCATTTTTGCTCAGGGAGAAGCAGGATTGCCAGGAACTCCAGGCTCACCTGGTCAGAAAGGGGATAAAGGAGAACAGGTAAGATACTTCAAAACACTGTCAGGATGAAAGTGGATTTGTTCAAAAGTGACTTAAAAATGCATGCATTTATGCTAAGCAAAATAAGTCAATCAGAGAAAGACATGTATCATATGATCTCACTGATATGAGGAATTCTTAATCTCAGGAAACAAACTGAGGGTTACTGGAGTGGTGGGGGTTGGGGGGGTTGGGTGGCTGGGTGATAGACATTGGGGAGGGTATGTGCTATGGTGAGCTCTGTGAATTGTGTAAGACTGTTGAATCACAGACCTGTACCTCTGAAACAAATAATACATTGTATGTTAAAAAAAAAAAAAGATAGTAGGAAGGGTGAAATGAAGGGTGGGGAATTGGAGGGGGAGACAAACCATGAGAGACTATGGACTCTGAGAAACAAACTGAGGGTTCTAGAGGGGAGGGGGTGGGGGGATGGGTTAGTCTGGATGATGGGTATTAAAGAGGGCACGTATTGAATGGAGCACTGGGTGTTATATGCAAACAATGAATCATGGAACACTACATCAAAAACTAATGATGTAATGTATAGTGATTAACATAACATAATAAAATAAAATTTAAAAAATGCATCCATTTCATATCTCTATGTCCCATACAAATGCACATTTCCATTAAAGGCTATTAAGGACTATATTTAAATGCTGATGGCTGAAATAAGGAAGACTATATCAGCATTCAAATCTGCTTTTGAGTTCCTATAGGAACTAAAATTTGCAAAGATGTGGAAACCCAAATCTTTGTATCTGTAAACTTTAAGCACAATTGTGAAGCAAGAAAGTTTATTTTTTAGTTGTGCCCTAGGCTTCTCTAGCATTCTGTTCTCCAAATACTTCAACTCTTATTTCTCTTGTGTGCTGATGGATCCCCACAAAGATTCTTTTTTAGCTTCCTATCATTTGTTTGCTTATTTATCTATTTATTTTATTTTTAAATAAAATTTTATCCCCTTCACCCATTTCTCCAACCTCCACTCCCTACCTCTGGCAACCACCAATCTGTTCTCTGTATCTATGAGCTTGATTTTATTTTTTTCTTCTTTCTTTTCTCTTTCTTTCTCTTCTCTTCTCTTCTCTTGTCTTCTCTTCTCCCTCTCTCCCTCCCTCTCTTCCTCCCTCTATTCTTCCTTCTCTCCTTACCTCTCTCCCTATGCCCCTCCCTCTCTCCTTCCCTCTCTCCCTCTTCCTCCCTCTCTCTCTCTCTTTCTTTCTTTTCTTCCCTCCACATATAAGAGAGATAATATAGTATTGGTCTTTCACTGTCTGGCTTATTTCACATACTATTAATGCTTTTGAGGTCCATCCATGTTATCATAAATGGCAAGATTTTATTCTTTTTTATGGCTGAATAATATTCCAGTGTGTGTATGTGTGTATGTGTGTGTGCATGTATGTGTATCACATCTCCTTTATCCATTCATTCATTGATGGACACTTAAATTATTCCCATACCTTGGCTACTGTAGATAATGCTGCAATTAATGTGGAGGTGCATGTATCTTTTCGAGTCAATGTTTTTATTTTCTTCAGATAAATACTCACAAGTGGAATTGCTAGATTAATTTTTTGGAGAATGTCCATACTGTTTTCCATAATGGCTGTACAGTTTACATTCCCACCAACAGTGCTGAAGGTTTCTCTCTCTCCACATCCTCATGAACATTTATTATTGCTTATATTTTTAATGATAGTTGTTCTAACAGATGTGAGGTGATATCTCATTATGGTTTTGATTTGTTATTTCCTTGAAGATTAATGATGTTGAGCATCTTTTCATGTACCAGTTAGTCATCTATATGTATTCTTTGAAAAAAATATCTATTCAGGTCTTCTGCCCATTTTTTAATTGGATTTTCAATTTTCTTGCAATTGAATTGTATGAGTTCTTTATGTATCTTGGATATTAGCCCCTTATCAGATATGTGATTTACATATATTTTTTTCCATTCAGTATATTGTCTTTTCATTTCTGGATGATTTCCTTTGCTGTGCAGAAGCTTTTTAGTATGCTATAGTTCAACTTGTTTATTTTTCCTTTTGGTGTCAGATTTAAAAATGATCACAAAGACCTATGTCAAGGAGCTTAGTGCCTATGTTTTCTTCTAGGAGTTTTATGGTTTCAGATCTTATATTCAGGTCTTTAATCTATTTTGAATTAATTGTGTAACATAGTGTAAGATAGTGGTCAAATTTTATTCTTTTGGATATGGCTGTTCAGTTTTCTCAACACCATTTATTGGAGAGACAGTCATTTCCTCATTGTATATTGTTGGCTCCTTTGTCATAAATTAATTGACCATTTATGTATGGGTTTAATTATTGTTTCTCTATACTGTTCCATTGGTCTATGTGTCTGTTTTGTTGCCAATATTCTACTGTTTTAATTACTATAGCTTTGTGATATAGTTTGAAATCAGGGAGCATGATGCCTCCACCTTTGTTCTTCTTTCTCAAGATTGTTTTGGCTACTGAGGTTTTTTGTGGTTCCATACAAATTTTAGAATGATTTCTTCTATTTCTTTGAAAAATGTCATTTTGATAGGGATTGCACTGTATCTATAGTTTCCTTTGGGTAGTGTGGATATTTGAACAATATTGATTCTTCTAATCCATGAGCATAGAATATCTTTCCATTTGTGTCTTCAATTTCTTTTATTAATGTCTTAAGTTTTCAATATACATGTATTTCACCTCCTTGGTTAAATTTATTCCTAGGAATTTTATTCCTTTTGATGCAATTATAATTAAGATTTTTTTATTTCTCTTTCTGATAGTTCACTATTAGTGTATAGAAACACAACAGATTTTTGTGTCTTGATTTTGCACTCTGCAACCTTACTGAGTTTGTTAATTCGTTCTAATAGTTTTTTGATGGAGTCTTTATGGTTTTCTATATATAAAATCATGTCATCTGCAAATAGTGACAGTTTAACTTATCCCTTTCCAATCTGGATGCCTTTTCTTTCTTTTTCATGCCTGTTGTTTTGGCTAGGACTGCCAATACTATGTTGAATAGTAGTGATGGGATTGGGCATCCTTGTCTTATTCCTGATCTTGGAGGAAAGACTTTCAGCTTTTCACCATTGAGTAAGATGTTAGCTGTGGGCATTTCATATGTAGACATTATTATGTTGAGGTACTTTCCCTCTATACACACTGTTGAGAGCTTTTATCATATATGAATGTTGAATTTTTTCAAATACTTTTCCTGCATCTATTGAGATGAACATATGATTTTTATCCTTCATTTCATTAATGTGATATATCATATTGAACCATCCTTACATGCCTGTAATAAATCCCACTTGAACATGGTGTATGATATTTTAATAAATTGTTGAATTCTGTTTGCTAATATTTTGTGAGAATTTTTTCATCTATGTTCATCAGGGATATTAGCCTGTAATTTTCTTTATTTGTGGCATACTTGTCTAGTTTTAATATCAGGGTAATGTTGGCCTCATAAAATGGGTTTGGAAGAGTTCTCTATTATTCTATTTTTTGGAAGAGTTTGAGAAGGATTGATATTAATTCTTCTTTGGATGTTTGGTAGAATTCACCAGTGAAGCTCTCTGGTCCTGTAATTTTGTTTATTGGGATATTTTTGATTAATGATTCAATCTCATTATTATTAGTCTGCTCAGATATTCTGTTTATTATGATTCATTCTTGGTAGGAGGTATGTTTCTAGGAATGTATCCATTTCTTCTAGGTTGTCCAATTTGTTGACATATCATTGTTCATAGTAGTCTCATGGTCCCTTTTATTCCTATGGTATTTAGATTAACTTCTTTTTCATTTTTTATTTTATCTGAATCCTCCTTTTTTTCTTGATGAGTCTACTTAAGAGTTGTCAATTTTATTTCTCTTTCAAAGAACCACCTCTAGTTTCATTGACCTCTATTATGTTTTTAGTCTCTACTTAATTTATTTCTGCAGTTCTCTGTTATTTCTTTCCTTCTACTAACTTTGGGCTTTGGTGGTTTATTTGTTTGTTTGTTTGTTTGTTTTTCTCTAGTTCCTTGAGGTGTAAAGTTAGGTTGCTTGTTTGAGACTTTTCTTGTTACTTGTGGTAGAGTAGTCACTTATCACTATGAACTTCCCTCTTAGAATTGCTTTTGCTGTATCACACAATTTGATATGCTATATTTACATTTTCATTTGTCTCAGGTATTTTTTATTTCTCTTTTGATTTTTCTTCGATCTATTGATTATTCAATAGCATATTGTTTAATGTCCACTTATTTGTGAATTTTCCAGTTATTTTCATGTAACTGATTTCAAGTTTCATACCATTGTTGTTGAAAGAGATGCTTGGTATGATTTCAGTTTCTTAATTTTGTTTGTTTGTTTTAAGTTTCTATTTACATTCTAGTAAGTTAACATATAGGGTAATATTAGTTTCAGGAGTAGAATTCAGTGATTCATCACTTATATATAACACCCAGTGCTCATCACAACAAGTGACCTCCTTAGTACTCATCACCCACGTAGCCCATTTAGCCCATCCTGAACCTTCCTCCCTCCATCAACCCTCAGTTTGTTCTCTGTAGTTAGGAGTGTCTTATGGTTTGCTTCTCTCTCTTTTTTTCATTCCCCTATGTTCATCTGTTTTGTTTCTTAAATTCTACATATGAATGAAATCATATAGTCTTTGTCGTTCTCTGACCAACTTATTTCACTTAGCATAGTGCACTCTAGCTCCATCCACATCATTGCAAATGGCAAGGGTTCATTCTTTATAATGGCTGAGTAATATTCCAGTGTGTGTGTGTGTGTGTGTGTGTGTGTACCACATCTTCGTTATCCATTCATCAATCGATGGACCTTTGGGCTCTTTCCATAATTTGGCTGTTGTTGATAATGCTGCTATAAACATGGGGGTGCATGAACCTCTTTGAATCAGTATTTTTGTATCCTTTTGGTAAATACTCGTCATCAGGGAAATACAAACAATTTCTTAAATTTATTAAGATTGGTTTT